TGGATCTCAGGTCTCTGCAACCTCTGCCCCCATCCAGGTTCAAAGGATTTTCCTGCCTCAGCCTCCCAAGTAGCTGGGATTACAGGTGACTATCATCGTGCCCAGCTAATTTTTGTATTTTTAGTAGAGACAGGGTTTCATCATCTTGGCCAGGCTGCCCTTGAACTCTTGACCTCATGATCCACCAGCCTTGGCCTCCAAAAGTGCTGGGATTATAAGCATGAGCCACTGCGCCTGGTCTGCATATACAATTCTCTTATACTTGCTTTTCAAAGCTGCAAAACCAGTTGTTACCGCACTTTTCAGAGGTCACAGGTCCCTTTGATAATCTGCTGAAAGTTATGACCTCTGCTCCCCACCCCCCACAATGCACATACACATAGCCTTGGGCACCATATCAGGAGGCAGGAGGACTCTCCGAAACTCATCCTCTGCGCTAAGTAAAACGGTGAGTGCCTAGGGGCCAGCAACAAACTTCTGTTTCTGGACTTCATCATTATTGCCCCCGAAAGTTTCTGTGACTTTTAGTAATCGGTATTCAAAACGAAGCCTGTTTGGAGTCGGACCTGGCAGTAGCTGGAGTCCCTTACTACCATGTTTTGTGCTTGGGCATTCGAATTGTTTCCAGTTTGTTTTGCTATCATCACTGTTCTATGGGGTTATTTTTTTCTTTTTATTCCTAGATGGTCTATTTTTTGGAAGGTATTTAGGCTTGAAAAGCCCATGTACTTTATGAGCTGTGTACCTCTGCTAAAGTCTCCTTCTCTTCTGTCCGGATACCATCCTTCAAGACGCTACTCAAATGTTGCCTCCTCCTGGAAGTCTTCCCTCCGCTTGGAAGTAAACTCTGAATCTGTACTTACTCCTCTCTCGTGGTGCTCATTACACACCATGTTCTAGTTGATAACATTTACATATGTGACTCAGTGGTATACCTCGTGTATTGTATTTGACATAGAGAATGGATCATTTTAATGATCCTCTGCTCCGCCTTCCGGGTTCAAGCAATTCTCCTGCCTCAGCTTCCCAAGTAGCTGGGGTTGCAGGTGCCCACCACCAGGCCCAGCTAATGTTTTGTATTTTAAGTAAAGATGGGGTTTCACCATGTTGGCCAGGCTGGTCTCAAACTCCTGACCTCAGGTGATCCAATTGCCTTGGTCTCTCAAAGTGCTGGGATGACAGGCGTGAGCCACTGTGCTTGGCTGACATTCTTTAGAATTGTGACAATGACAGGGAGGTCAGCTTTTGGTTATATTATTGTATTTACATTCTCTGTGGGCAGTTGCTCTTGTGTGGGTGGCACATCCTCCCTTCAGCCCGTCCCGTGGCCCCTTACTTCTCCCCACTGCCCCACTCCTACCCCATTTGACCGTAAATTCCGGCAAGGTGGGGACAGCTGTGCAGCCGCCTGTCGTCCAGGGCCCACAGCACAAGCGTGGCAGTTTGCAGGCCAGGGCCCTAGCGAGATCGCCTTAGGATGTCCTCCCTTTTCCTCTGTGGGAGGCCAGATTTTCTTCATACATTTCAAACAAAGCAACACATCACAACAGACTGAATACAGAAAGAGGTAAGGGAATCCAGCCATCTTTTGTGAAGCCAGATACTAGAGAAATTTGCAACATTTCTTTGTAAAACAGTATCACTCTTCTGCCTCATTTAAAAATTATTATTTGGAAAATACAAATTATTTTTCATAAAATGATTATATGTGTGAACATGGAAGGGTTTATTATTTTAGAAAGCATTAACAGATTTTAAAGCTTTCTCAGTTTTAATTTCTAATGCAGTACACATTGCTATCTCACAAAAGGAACACTGTGGTCCTCAATTATTATTATTATTTTTGAGATGGAGTTTTAGTCTTGTTGCCCAGGCTGGAGTACAATGGCGTGATCTTGGCTCACCACAACCTCCGCCTCCCGGGTTCAAGTGATTCTCCCGCTTCAGCCTCCCGAGCAACTGGGACATAGGTATGTGCCACCATACCTGGCTAATTTTTATATTTTTTAGTAGAAATGGGGTTTCACCATATTGGACAGGCTGGTCTCAAACTCCTGACCTTGTGATCTACGCGCCTCAGCCTCCCAAAGTGCTGGGATTACAAGCGTGAGCCACTATGCCCAACCTCCTCGATGACTTTTAAGAGAGAAAAAGTGTCCTGGGAACAGAGTGTGAGTTGTCCTCAGGCACTACCTTACATATGGCAGATGCTCATAGATGCTTGTGACATTCACAAGGGACTGACTGGATAGGTAGCTTTCCACTGCTCCTAGGATTTGGAAGCTGAGGCTGGGGTGGAGGGAAGGGAGAAGGCGCCTGTTGATAGAGGGCCCAGTGGAAGGTGGGGCTTGTCAGGGTCTGCAAGCAGCAGCTGCTCTTTGGAGCCATGTTGGCTCTGATGACAATACCAGTTGGGGGACCTGGGTCTCAGGCAGTGGGGGCTGGGCGTAAGCGTGATGTGCCATGGGGTCTTCAAGCAGCTCACTCTGTCCAGTCCCCCTTAGTGCTGACAGCAGAAACAACAGTCTCAATCTGCCTCTCTGGGAGAGGAACTGAGCGGAATGTTTTTCTAGAAACCTCTGGCTGTCAGATCACTGGGTGTGGGCTTGACAGAGAGCGTTGCGGCCTCAGAAGACAGATTGAGTCTACAGGAACTTCTCCGCGCTCTGCCTTGACCAGTCATGCACCCGCCGGCGAGGCACTTAACTGCCAGCTTACTCAACCATATGGTGAGGACGAGATAAAATGTCCGTGGAGTGCCTGGCACATGCTGGGTGCTCAGCACATTAGTGACTCCATTAGTCAGATGTCATTAATAATAAATGCTCAAAAGAAGGAGGCTGGGAGGAGGGCTAACGAGGAAGTGTCCCGGAGGGAGTTCTTCCTGGTGCGGGATGAGTTGAAGTACGGCATAGACGATGGTTTCTCAGCCTCTGCACTCATAAGCTTTTGGGCTGGATAATTCGGTTTTGTGCGAACTGCCCTGTGAGTTGTAGGATGTTCAGCGGCATCCCTGGCCTCTACCAGCTAGATGCGGGCAGGGAAGCCTCTCTCCCGGATCTTTACAACCACAAATGCCTCCAGACATTGCCACGTGTCCCCTGGGGGGCAAAATTGCCCCTGTTGAGAACCACTGGTGTAGAAACTCACCTGTGAGTTTCTACTTCTACAAGGGCTCCCCCACAGGACCCCGGCTTCCCTTCAGTTTCCCCAGAAAGACGTCACACTAGCCACATGCAACAGATTGGGCTCACTCACTGCAGAAGAATTCTGCCAAGAGATTCTGCTTCCAAGAGAACAAGAGGCCTCCTCACTCTGATCCTCCTTCCCGAGGAACCCTCTCGCTAATAGTGGCCATTTCCCTCAGCAGTTGCGCAAACCAGGCCCCGGCGAAAGAAGCAGACTGACCAGGACAATGAGATTGGTCAAGGAAAATCTGGACAATACCCAGAAGCCTGGAGGAGGCCGTTTCTCCCTTCAACCTCGACCTCAGCACGGAATGCTTCCAATTCCCATGCTGCAAAAACTGTCTGGGCCAATCGACAAGTAGAATGGATAAGCTACACGCAAAATGCTACAGCAGTGAGATTGAGTGAACCTCCACTGCATGAAACTCCACGGTTGACTTGCACAAAAGTCAGGTCAAATGAAAGAAGCCAGGCGCAAAAGAGCAACTGATGTGTTTCTCTTAACGAAAAATCTCCCCAAAGGCAAAATCATGTATGTTACGGTTCAAAGGGCACACAAGGAAGGCTTTCGGGACCGGTTCAGCTTGCGAGGATTTATTGAGGTTTATGATTTTTGCCCTTTTCTAGATATATGATATAAACTTTAAAAAAAGTAAGCAAATAAATACAACATTCTTGGCCAAAAGGCCGGAAAGGCCCTTTAGCAAAATCATTATGAACCAAGGGAATAAAGATTTCCAGCAATTTTACCTGTATGGCTCTAAATTATTAGGTAAGGGTCAATTTTGAATGTGTGGCTTTACAAATGACATGATGTATCAAAAATAATTAGTATAGTGCTTGGCACAGAAAATACTTCATGAGTGGTAATAATTAATGCTACTACTCAATTATTAACTGACCTAGGATGTAAAAATCATAGTCAAATATAAAGGAACAGCCCTTTGTCTTAAAGGGGGAAAAAGTTTCTGAAATTTTTAGGTACGTCCCCTGTTGGTAAATTTCGAATTCTCAAAGTTTTCAGAGCTTTCTCCAAGCTTAGTCCTAGAGAAGAGAAAAATCTACCTTTGCGTTACTAGCTCCTGACCAGTGACCAATACCAAAACGAAGTCCCTAACACCTGTCTGGATTGGCCAAATTGTTCAATTAACTGATCCATCATTTATTGGTCCACTGGTTAGCCTGGAATCTGAGCTCCACTCTACCTGCCTGATCAGGCATTTGATCTGTCTTTGGCCACCAATCTCGTTTATGAATTCACAAGCAAAACAGGCGGGAGGGCGGTTGGATTCTTCAGCCTCAGATGAAAACACTGGCAAAAAAACAAAGTCTAGAAATTGTGCAATGATAGCTCTACTTCAGACCTGACTGGATATGGAACTCTTACAAATTCCTCTCTCTTCTGAGAGAGCCAGGCAATTAGACAACCCCAAAACGACAGAGCATTTCATTGCAAGCCTAGCTCCCTGGTTGCAAATTAGATGCCACGTTAACTCTCAGGAAGATCCGAATCGCTTTCAAATCATTCTCCACTGAATAACTTTTAGTATGACTGTTTCCATATCAGATATGCAAGAGACTTGACTGCTAGCTGCAGGCACTCTTAGAAGACTTTTGATCCCAGGATGATTTTCTAAAATTTCATTTCTGTTTACAAACGGCTATGTGTCCCTGTGAACCTGTGGAGTCAGGTATGGAACGCGCTCTGAAGCAAGCTCTGTGTCATACGGTCAGAAAACCCTGGATTCTTTGTGACGCACATTTTAAAAAGAAAAATCCATGGCCATCTATGGAGAAAAGTCAGGCTCTTACCTGGTTTCAGGCTTTGTCCATAGGCATTTGATTGGATAAAGATGGATAAAACCAAGAGAATGGTGACACTCAGGAGACTTGTGTCCATTTCTCCGTTTCACCAGGGTCCAGGCTTTCTTGCTAATTTCTGAAGCCAAAGAGACCAGAATGCCTATTAGATATTTTGTTAGGGAAGGCTGCCCATTAATAATTAACCTCTCAACATGCTATCCACTGATCAGATAGTTTGCTTACTGCCCCCCAACCACAAATCTACTTATATTTATTTTAAAAAGGTTGATTTAGCGAAGTGCTGCTTATCCTAACACATTTTGAGAATAAAATACCTTGGTATGTATTCTTACCTTCTGGGGCCAAGGTCAGAGTTCTAGATTAATCAATTTAAAGCTACTGTGTTGTGTTTGGAAATTCTGCCAAAGTTCAGGGGTAGGTGGCTTCCACGTGGCTGCCTAAGACTCCCCGTGACAGCGCTGCAAGGGGTTATGCATGCTTAGGAAAGTGGCTTTTCAAATTGCAGGCTAAGTCCAAAGAAGATGAAAAGGGCCCTGCTATGCGGAGAGCCCCCGGAAGGTCCAAATTTCTGTTAGGTTCAGTGAAATTGGTGATGCTTGTGGTCAAAATGTGGTGGGGCAACGTTTCTACAGCTGAAAGGGGCAGAAAACCCTTCACCTCGTGTTGAAAGGAGCTGACGGAGAAGCAAAGATGCCCTTGCCAAGTGCCCCACTGAAGGGTGATCCCAGAGTAGACACACCTCTTCCCCTCTGTGTTCATTCATGTTCCAGCCGTGTAGAGGACTGAGGAGTGAGATCACTCAGCAAAATCAGGTAGGGAAAAGGCTGTTGTCGATGGCTCTCGTGATGTTTTCAGGCCTCTAGTTTTATTTTAGCTTTCTTCATTTGTTCAACGCTTAAGTATTTTGGTATGCCTACTATGTGCCAGGCACTGTTCTAGGCATGTGGGATGTACAAGTCCTTCTGTGCTAGCGGAGGTGAGAGAAGTTGGATAATGGATAATAGGCATAATAAAGAAGAGTTTTATGTAGACTGGTGGACTGTAATGAGAACCACAGGAAAAGCAGTGTTAAGCGGGTTGGGGAGAAGGTAGGGATTTTAAGCAGTGTGGTTAGAGTGAATTGCATTGGGAAGTTGAACTTTGAGCCAAGGTTTGAAGGAAGTGAGGGAGTTGCCCCTGTGGACGTCCTGAGGAGGAGAGTTTCGGGCAGTCAGTGTGGAGGCCCTGGGGTAGGAGTATGCCTGGTGTGCTCCAGAAATAGTGAGGAGGCCAATGAATGGGGAGACATTTTAAGGACCTTGACTTTTATATGATAACACATGGGGAGCCACTCTGAGCAGAAGGGTGATATGATTTGTGTTAGAGTTTTAAAGGATCACTTTGGTTTGCAAGTGAGCCAGGGTGCAAGTGGAGAGATCTGTTACAGTGACCCAGTGAGAGGTGATGGTGGCTTGGCCCAGCGTGGAAATAGGGCAACTGGCGAGTATTGGATGGGTGCTGGGTATATTTTGAAGGTAGAGCCAACAGGATTTTCGGACTGCTGAGATGTGTGATGTGGGAGAAAGGGAAGAGTTGAGGATGATTTCCAGGTTTTGTCTTGAGCAAGTAGTTGAATGGGCTTGCTGTCAGCAGAGAAGGGAAAGCTGTGAGTGAGGCAGGTTTGGTGGGGGAAGATTAGAGATTCCGCCTTGGCCAGGTGGGGTTTTGAGATGGCTTTTAGTTATCCAAGTGGCAGTGTTAAGTGGGCAAAATGAGATAACATGGGAATTACTGCCTGGACAAGCCTATTGAAAGGGCCCTCTGAAGTGATCAGCCGACTTGGATGAGGTGGACCCAGCCCAAAGCCTGTGTTTTGTTCTGTGGCTGCACCTTCCCAAGCCCTGCGGCTTCCACACCATCCTGTCAGATAAACAATTGCTTTTTTTTTTTTTTTTTTTTTTAAGACCAAGTCTTACTCTGTTGCCTAGGCTGGAGTGCAGTAACGCAATCTCAGCTCACTGCAACCTTCGCCTCCCAGATGCAAGTGATCGTCATGCCTCAGGCTTCCTAGTAGCTGGGACTATAATTGTGTGCTAGCATGCCTAGCTAATTTTTGTATTTTAAGTAGAGATGGGGTTTCATCATGTTGGCCAGGCTGCTCTCTAACTCCTGACCTTGTGATCCACCTGCTTCAGCTTCCCAAAGTGCTGGGATTACAGGTGTGAGCTACCACGCCTGACAGATACACAATTTCTGAGCGAGGGCTTCTGCCCTGAATACTTGGCTGGCTCCTGCACAGTTAAGCAGGATCTGAAAGTTTCACGTTTCTTCCTATAAAGCTGGCATGTAAAACCAGCTGGCTACCCACCTCGGGCTCTTCTGCCCTGGGCCTACCCTCATCTCTTCTCCTCTGGGTGCTGCCAGTAACCACCCCCACTCCCCATTTAATTCTGGCCATGAACTCATCAAAAGACCCAAAAGAATCGAAGTGCCTCTGAAATGCCAACCCTGTGGCCCCCCAACCCCCCCAAATTTCTGCAGACTATACTTTCTTAATGCTTTCTACATAGGAAGAGGCCTTCAACATTGTTTCTAGCTCCCATAATTCCATTACTTGCACCACCCAAAATTCCTCTACCGTCATCTCACGTCAACTCAGATTCTATGAGGCTCTCCTGGAAAATGACAAGGAGGCGTGGATCTCTGTCCGATTTCAGGCTTTCAAGGGTGGTGTCTGCTTTCACCTCTACCCAAGCTCTTCAGGCTGGCCCCATCACCGGCTCCCACCTTCCAGCGGTGGTTTTAACACACAAGCTCTGTTGTGTATTTGTGAAGCTGACCAGGGAGGCTACTGGGAGGGAAGAGGGGGGGACTTCATAGAGTATGAGGTTTCTTGAACTGGGGGGTCCTCGGCCTGTCACTTGCTATGTGTAATATTACATAACCTTAATGAGTTCTATCTCCTTACCTGTATAATGGGGACAGCATGTACCTGAGATAATATTTTGAGATATCAGCTTTTTTTTTTTTTTTTTTTAAATTGAGATGGAGTTTCACTCTTGTTACCCAGGCTGGAGTGCAATGGTGTGATTTTGGCTGACCGCAACCTCCGCCTCCTGGGTTCAAGCAATTCTGCCTCAGCCTCCCGAGTAGCTGGGACTACAGGTGCACGCCACCATACCCAGCTACTTTTTTATTTTTTAGTAGAGACGGGGTTTCACCATGTTGACCAGGATGGTCTCCATCTCTTGACCTCATGATCCACCCGCCTCGGCCTCCCAAAGTGCTGGGATTACAGGTGTGAGCCACCGTGCCCAGTCCTCAACTTCTTGTTTTTCTCCCAAACTGTCTCCCTTGTTCTTCCTTCCACTTAAGGGGGGCAAAGTAGAGAGAAGACTACAAATCTGTTGTCTTCCAAAAACATAGGACCTTAGGGCAAGTCAATTTTATTTTATATTTTATCTTTTATTTTATTTATTTTTGGAGACAGGGTCTTCCCGTGTTGTTCTGGTTATTCATACACTCCTGGGCTTAAGTGATCATCTTGCCTTGGCTTCCCAAAGTGTGGGCCGGTGAATTCTAACCAACAAAGAAAAGCCAAGGGCTAAAATACCTTGAAGGGATGTGAAGGGGAAGAAACCCCTCACCTTCCCATCACTAGAAAGACATTATCTTGGGCTTTGCAGGTGATGTGGAAGGGGGAGGTTTGTCTGTGGGTATGAGGGCAGAGGGGACAGTCCCTTGCTTCCCAGAAATCCTGCTGGAAGAACCCAGAGAGGAAATGTCTGTGTTGGCTGATGGGCAAAAGATATACATGGCTTGATGTAGAGAGGGAGAGCGGTGAGCCTCTGGGGCAGCAGGTCGTGTTGATGGGAGGATGGGCCCCTCAGTGGCCACCGGTGTGGATTGGTGACAGAGGACTGGGTCACACGGCCCTGACCCCATGCCTGGCTGTTGTGTTGGTCCAGAACTATGGCAGAGCTACTGGGGTTGGAGATGGAAATCCAGAAGGTCTGAAAATAGGGATTTGGAGTCAGTAATTTAGACGGGTTACAGAGATTAAAGAAACTGATTGCACGTCAGAATCTGTGGACTGAAATTAATACCTCAAAAGAGAGGTAAGCTATGCGTATTAGAAATTTGGTTGTAAGGTTCAGCCAAGTGCGTGGTTCATAGCAGAGGGTCAGTCAATTGTAATGACCTGTTTCATGGGATGTATACCTAGTGGCCAGAGTCCATGCTTTGAGGCTGGGACAGTGTCTCACACCTATAATCCTGATGCTTTGGGAGGCAGAGGCAGGTGGAGCGCTTGAGGCCAGGAGTTTGATACTAGCCTGGGTACCATAGCAAGACCCCATCTATACAAAAATAAAAACAAAAAATTAGCCTGTTGTGGCGGCACACATCTGGAGTCCCAGGTACTTGGGAGGCTGAGGCAGGGGGATTGCTTGAGCCCAGGAGGTGGAGGCCAGTGAGCTATGATCATACCACTGTGCTCCAGCCTGGGTGACAGAGTGAGACCCTAGCTGTAAAAGAAAAAAAATTAGGGTACAGCCTTGGGAATCAAACAGATATAGGCTCAAATTTTTGGTCTATCCCTTGTACTTACTAGCTGAGTGACCTTGGATAAGACATTGTGACTGAGCTTTAGTTTTCTTAATCTGCTTAATGGGACTAGTAACACCTCTCTAGTCTGATTAAGTGAGACAATGCATGTGAAGCCATCAGCAATCCTAGACCACAGGAAATAACTAATGATAGCTACTATTATTTTTTTTTTTTTATGTTTAAATTTACTGAGGGGATCAGGAGGGTATCCAGGAGATAGATAACAATAAGAACACAGTGATATAATTGTAGCAAAAAATGTCAGGGGCAGGAAAACACAAGGGTCTGAATCGGTGGCTCTAAAATCCAATTGAGCTTCAGAGTAAGAGTCAGCTGGGGAGGTCAGACAAAGGACAACTAATGGGCCCATCCCAGCAATACTGAGCATGGAATCAAAACTAGGGTCAAGGCCTGAGGAGCCTTCATTCTGAACAAGTTTCCATGTGATTCTTGGTCACACAAAGTTTGAGAACCATTGCCTCAGAATGGTGCTGGAGCCATCTATTGGGACACAAGAAGAAAGTAATA